GGGGGGGGGGGGGGGGGGCTTGTGACTTTAATGTCACTTTAAATTGAAGCTTAAAAATTCACATCTAATTATCATATCCTGGTCTATTTCTTATTTTGCATTTATCAAGCTGTATGTGAGATCTGTGCAGGTTTTGAAGACATCAATATGTACAGGTATATGTTAGAATTGCAATAATCTGTAATATTAAAGCGGAAGTAAAGTGTCATTTTAAAATTGCGGACAACGAGCCTTTTTTGGCACAAGACATAATGTAAGTCTCTTCTGCCAAAAATCACTTACATGCCAGCAATTGTTTATTTTTTCTCTGCACAAGGCCGCACACGCGCAGCTCAGCGCACAGACCTGGCATGCCAAAATGAAGCACGGGAATTACTTCATGCTAGCTGGCCAAAGATGCAGAACCTGAAAATAGACCGGGGAGAAGATGAAAGCGTTCTCACAGGCGGGGAGAGCGGACAGCACAACGCAGCTTTGGAGGGGATCGGTTTGGCATGCAAATTGGACATAATGAGCTAATATGCTGTGCACTTAATGTCTGCTTTAAATATGCCCTATATAAAAATGTTTTTACATTTCCAAAGTTCTCTGTAAATTATTTGATCCATATAATTTTTTACTGTAAATGCTATTTTCTATTATTCTAAAGTATGCGGGCTTGTTCACACCAAGTGCGTAGCAGATGCAGAGCAGAGCAGTTTAAGAATGCTTTAAAAATGCATCCAATGTATCCCAATGGTATTTTGGGCTCTAGTTCACACCACCGAGTTCAGTTCCAGTGCATGTGGAAAAACTGCAGCAGGCACTATTTCTTCTGCTCTGGAACGCACCAAAAGACAAGCAAATGCATCAAACACATATGCAAACGCTCTGGAACGCACTGGACTACACCTGAAAGCCCATGTTAGGCAAAAAAAAGCACAGACCGGAATGCATCCAAAACATGGCATAAATGCAGCAAAACCACGGCAAAATGCACTGCACTGCATATGCAGAAGTTCATCCAGATCTGGACCGGATTTGGTGTGAACAAGCCCTGCAACAGTTTGATAATGTAATCCTGAACGGCCGATGCAGCTGCTTATAAAACAAGTATCAGGTAGGTAGGACCCAACACAGACCAATGTGGTGTGCAACTTCGATCCAGAAGTAATCCACTCTAACCACTTGCTGTTCGGAGCAATTTGTTACATTTGCACACACTTGATAAAATCTAACATTTTGGCTAGAAAACAGACTCCCAAACAATTATATAATTTTCTGAAAGCAGAGGCCCTGTAGAATAAAAAGATGCTAGTTGCATTTGTTTTATGTTGCACGGTATTTTGCGCAAATGTTTATCAAGCAAGTATTTCTAGGATAAAATACACTAAAATAAATTTAGTGCACAGAAACAGAATATAATACCTGATTTTTTTGTAAAATATAAAAGATGGAACATACGGAAGATTTGATCTCCTTTGCCAGGTGCACGCATGCTCAGCATTGTACTAAATGGTTTTATTGGCAGGAATTCCCTCTCTCCCTGCTGCAGGAGGGGACCGGCCCTTGAGTAGTGCTGGAATGGCAGATGGAGCCTCCCCACCTTCCAACCCCCCTTCCTCTTTCTGTCCCCCTCTTTTTGTCTTTTTGCTTCTACATATCTCTCTCTTTCAATCTGATTTCCTCTCCCTGTGTACTATTATGTACTATAACACACGGTTACTACCTGTATTCATGACATAAATATGCTGCGAATCTATCTCCTTGTATCGTCAGGAATACCACATGATGTTGTTTTGCTCACTGACTCCTGGACCCCTACATATTGGGACCTTCTTTTTTTCTTTGATGATTTTCGAAGCTGTCATACCTTCTTCTTTGTAATTGTTCTTAACAATCTTTTTTGTCTACAAAAAGTTAAACATTTTCAAAATAAAGAATTTATTTAAAAAAAACACACTGGGTAAATAGATACCAAACAAGCCAAGCCTTAAAATTGCGTGTGCGTCTGTGAAACCGCAAAAAACTACAATAAAATTTCCCATTACCACGCTTTTATGGCTCACCAGTATTTGCTAACAGTGATTGATGGGCCTAGAATTATTGTTCTTACCTCGAATGATCGCGACAATATGTAACGTGTGGGGCAATTTTTGCTTTTGCACAAAGGTGTATCCGACGCGTGTTTGCATTGTATGTACATGCACATGGGGGGTGGGGGACCTTTTAAAAACATTTTGCATTTTTAATTTTTTTTACTCTGTACTATTTTAATTTGTACTATTTTTTTTTTACACTCAGTTTTATTGCTATTGCATAGGGGGTAACAAGCCTCCTATGTAATAGCAAATATAATGTGACAGGTCCTCTTTATGTAGACATCAGGGGTCTTTTAGACCCCAAATGTCACCTAGGGACCCCAAAGAAGCTGATGAAGCAGCGATCTGCTTCACCAGCTTCTTCTTCTGGCTCTAGGAGCCGGAGAATGTGCCCAGTGACACCGGAAGTGATGCAATGCACATCCAATGCAATTCTAAGTCCAGTGATCGGAGGAGAGATCAGGGGCTGGAAGCCTGCTGACCTCCCTCCAACCTGTTAGTGGAGCCCAGGAAGCCGGCGGCGGCACCAACGGAGGGGGGTGGAGGGGGACACAACGCTGTACGGTACAAGCGATCTGGCACCTGTACAGACGCCGGATCATTTGTATTTAAACAGCAATCGACGGCTGTGTAAAACGTGTACCAGGAACACGGCTGGAACCACTTCCAGCGGATGATGTACATTTATGTAACCCGCTGTAAGGGGTTAATAACTACATAAACTTCTAACACAAGTTGAAAATTAGTTTCCAAGTTTAGACTCTGATTATGCATCCTCAAAACATAAGGGTGACAAATGGAAGGAGCACAAACAAGCTACATCTGCATATAATCATCACAGTAGTATGAAAAATCATCTCTGGCAGTTACTGTTTGTTTCAAACAAATTCATTTTCCAAAAAAACTCAAACATAATTTACAGATATTACATTTCCTTGCAAACTGGGAAAACAAAGTTACACAGGAATTTTCACATGACTGACCACAAACTGAAATCACTGACACATCCCAAATCAGCAAAGTGAAACACCTGGGTATATATTTAGTTTTCATGTAAGGAATACATTGCTTGTTAAAGAAAGTTGTTTAGTTTTCATTAACTTTTTTGGGGTGTGCTCAGACCTGATGACCTAAGGCTATCAAGTTACTGAAAGTACAGCGTTCTCTAATAACGACTACAATGAGTCGAGAACCAAGTTGCTTACCGGGGTGAGGAGGGTATAATGAATGCAGAATCCTGGTTCAGAAGCGAAATATTTATCAGATACAAATCGTATCCTGATCTGATTTCCTTTCGAAATCTGTTTGCCTGGCACTGTATTAGAGCCGCACCATCGCCCATAGATTGTGCCGTCACTGGGGTCTTCAATCTCTACAAAATCATACCTGATAAGATAAAAATAGAAGGATGAAGGATGTCTAACACATTCATACATTTTAATTAGAAAAACAGCTGTGACACGATACAACCTACTAAAAAAATCTAACTACTAAAAAAAACATTACAGTGATTCTACCTTAGTTTACCTTTGGTTAGCTAAGAGCACCTCTTAGCTAACCGCACCATCTAGCCACAATGTTACAATGTGAATTACTTTGATTTGCTACTGTCCATGTCCAAAGTGTTAGGCTAGGTTCACACCAGATGCAGTGCGTTCCGGCCCAATTCTGGCCGCAACGCACTGCATCGCATTGCGGCCGGCTTACTTTTTTGTGGGGCAGGAGGGGGTGGTGGGCCATTGAAGTGAATGGCACCATAGCCACACCCTCCGGTCGCAATGCAATCATCCGCACGGGATCGCAAGGCACATTGTGCCTGGTGTCCGGTCCAGTGTGGTGCGATCAAAATTTTGATTGCACCGCGATGCAGTGTGTTCTGGCCAGAATCGGACCGGAACGCACTGCATCTGGTGTGAACCTAGCCTCAGAGGCATGTCTATTGACCCTATGCCTGTTGCAACCTCCCGTCTTCTTCTGGTGGTTGCTTGTTGCCACTGCACTTATCCCGGTCTTCTTGGCAGGTGTGGACTAATAAATGCGATCTCTTTGTGTCTTGCTGGCTGCAGCACTAGTCTAGTCAACTGAGGCCTAATGAATCTGTTCACACACCTCCAACTCTGGGATTGGCCTTGCTGGTGGCGCCCTATTTAAGCATCATTAGCCTGTTCCTCAGTGCTCATGATAGAGTTTCCTGCTGATCAAATCTGCACCCGTATGTCTAAATTCTTGCTTCTCGGATACCTGTCTTGACCTTCGGCTACATTTTCAGGATACCCCTTTCTCTGTTACCTGCCCTGACCTTTTGGTACATTTACTGGATACACCTTAATCTGCTGCTGGCCCTGACCTCTTGCTACGTTTCCAGGATTCCTCTTCTACTTCTGATCTTACCTTCCACTACCCTATGCTGCATTTACTTGAGGGGTCAGTAATGACATCCATGGCCAGAGTATATACTACAAGTCTTGGGGGCACCCAAGTACCAGTAGACACTAGGGTTGCCACCTTTTTTTCAGTGAAACCCGAACACTCTAGCGACGCACAGAAATTTTTTGGGGAGAATGAGCCGCGGCTTATGCATATGTAAATAGTGACACCAATTTTGGTTGCCCCTGTCTGCCTGACATCATGTGTCTGGGTCTCAGCTGCCATGAAACCCGGACACAGCATTCAAAACCCGGACGGTCCAGGTGAATCCCAGACAAGTGGCAACCCTAGTAGACACACTAGCCTTAAGAGAAAGGCCTCTGCATCATCACTATATACTCTTTTTGTTCGCTATCTTCTGCTATCCTCTTCTTTCAAGTCAATGGACATGCAAAAATACTTGAAGCAGCTTGATGCAGCTTAAGACCTGATTAACACTGAGTGTTTTGTAGCGCTTTTTCTGCTCTAAAAAACGCTCAAAAATATGCCCCCCAAAAAATCCCATTAATTTCTATGGCTCTGTTTACATTCAAGCATTTTGTCACAAAAAGCAAAACACCTGTTGCTGGAAAAAGTACATGAGCTTTTTTTATGGCATATTACAGCTCATTGTGGCCCCATAGACTCAATAGGAAATGCGTGAAAACGTGCATTTGCAGTGCTTTTGCGCGTTTCTGTGTGCGTTTAAAGGCGTGTCTGCCTATTCACATATGTTAATGAGCCACAATCTTCTTTAAAAAACGCACGGCTTGATTTATGCACATACAATCGCGCAAAAACTTGCATAGGAACGTGCAAAAAGGCTATCGTCTAGGTATGAACCCAGCCTAAAAGAATGTCAAACACAAGACAGGAGAGCAAATGCAGTTCAAAAGGAACTGTGAAATTTTTAGATGGACCTCAGAAGCACCTCAAACCTGCTTTATAAAAGGACAATTTTTCTCCTTAGTACTTTTGGTTATCATGCTCAAACATCTTGCATTGCTTTGGTGGTAAAATTTGATAAAAGACAAAGATGTAAAGGTTTTGTGATCTAGAACAAATTTAGACAAGTAATCCACAGCTTTCATAGTAAACCTTTAACTAGAAAAAAAAAGCAATAAAAAATGCTAATTCAAGCAAATTAGATGAGATATCTAGAGATGGAGAAAGTAAGTGGGCTGTCTCCAACATGAACAAGTACTTCTTTATAATAGGGATGTCCAGATACCAGTTCAGATACCAGTGCCCATACTTGGCCTTTTCATCTGAACTACCAGGGTTGCAGCAGTTGCAGCTGGGACCTAGCTCTGGTGCTCCACCACTGTCCTGAAATCATTACTCTGTATTGTTTTAGAAAAACGGTCACATAATAATAAACAAAAAATGTATTAGTACTTGTATCTGTGAGTACTTGGACAAGTATCAGTACTTGTACTTGGAAAAATTGTATCGGTGCATCACTTATATATATTTATTTAAAAAAAATAATGCATTAAAATGGTGATGTACAAATCCCAGGAGCTCCGTACACTCCTTAAAAATGACGACTGCCTCCTAACTTTTGAATTTTTCTCTAGTCTAGTCCTGGAGCTGGAAAAGTATCTGTACGGTACTTGGTATCTGAACATCCCTACTTTATAATTACAAAAATATTAAAATTGTGTTCCAGAACAAGCAAATGATGCTTCAAGAACTTTCATTAATTAAAATTTAGAGACCCTTCATACTATAGCATTGCGTTAAGTGCACGCTACCACACAACACATCTAGTGTGTGGTACCAAGAGCTAGGTGTGTTGTAATTCATTTGAATGGCATTCCAACTTACCGCCTGGTGGCTGAGCGCTGCAGCGCAGCTCAGCACGTGATACTGTAATACCGTACATTAAAAAAGTGCACTCATTACTTTTTTCAGCACAATGCATGTTATTGCGGTACCGTGTGTTGCACTGCCCCACAGTGTGTGGCCACTGGAAGGTGCATTGGGGTGCCATTCAAATGAATGACAATGCAACACAACTAGAACATGATACCACACACTAGGTGCGGTGTGTGATAGCCTGCATTAAACAAACAGTGACATGCACTGCACAATGCTATAGTGTGGATGGGCACTCATGGTAAGTGACCCTTTTGCAGAAATAACGATGCCCTTTGCTCAGTCTTGCATTTTTCATGTACTCTAACTCTTACCAAGCTGCTCTCTTTTGGTAGATTGACTTTCATTTGTCAAAAAGAGACAAGAATTGGGCCTCATATGGGGCTTCTCTGAAGGCACTTCAACACACATGTGTTAAAGCCTTCTAGATAAGTAAAAATAAAGACACAGGCTACCAGCATGTAATATATGTTGTGCTTACCCAAGGATCACAACTCCCTATCAGTAGTTATACTATAGTCCTTTCTCACAGAGCACACCCTTCTACAAAATAAAAAAAAAAGGGCTATACATACACTTTCATTATTGTGTACAGATACAATCACAGCTACTGCAGCTGAATATTTTCATTTTGCTGGGTACAATTGCAGGTATACAGTACTAACAAAGTGAACGCAAGTTCTAGAATAACTCCCACCCCCTTCCCCATACTACCCACTAAAGTACAACCCTAATTGGTCCCTATGGGCAAAAACTTTTTTTTCCTCCAATTTCTTTTTTAAAATAGCTTCTTGCTTGACAACTTTTTTGAACAAATTCTTCTCCATACACATGTTTTCAAATGTTTTCCATGTCTAAGCATGCACAGTCTTAAGTTGATTTTTTTGATATTTGCTTCTGTACAGCATGAGATATTTAAAAGCTCTAGCACTACTTTTCTCCCTAAACAATCTTAGTCAAAGCTTTTCATATACTTAGAGTTATAACTCAATGACAAAACATTTCCTGTTAATGTTTTACATGTGTATTATACTCTCTCTAATTATTTATTGGCTTTCATTAGGCAGGATTCACACCACATCCGTTGCATTTAGCTTGCATTGACACACATCAAATGCACTTGAGTTGAAGCATCTGTTTCTTTTGTTTACATCAGGAGCAAAGCAACTTTTTTTCCCTTCCTTAAAGCCCACAGCACACACTGTAAAGGTGCCCATACACCTTACGATTATTGGACAAAACTTTTCGTCCGATGATCGAACCGTCGTACAATTTTCGTACGACGGCCCCATCCTGCCCCAATTATCGCAAGGTTCAATCAGCGGTAGTTAAAAAAAAACCACCTGGACGACTTGCGGTAATTGACCGTAATTATTTTCGTTTGCGCATGCACAGTGTTAATCGTACGACTTTTGACGGACGTAAACGCCACCAACCATGCGAACATCGTACGATCGACCAAAGTTTTCAAACATGCTTGACCGTCAAAAGTCGTACGATTGTACAGTACTATCGGTCGGGCACTACATTCACACGTTACGATTGTCGTACGAAAAGTCGATCGCATACGATTATCGTACGATTATCGTACGATAATCGTACGATAATCATAAGGTGTATGGGCACCTTTAGTCTTTGTAATGTATTGCAGCCTGTTGTGCTGTGTTTAAATGCAGCATGTTCCATTTACCCAAAGCACACAGCAACAGAAGGCATTTGAGCCTAGTGGAGACAATTGAATAGGTCCTGAATGGGTTCTTCATCTGTTCCTTCAAAACACTTTTATTTTCGACCATATTCTAATGTCTTCCAGTAATTATTTTCTATCTCTTGCAAATTTTAACATGCCTATGCATAGCACCATCTCAGTTTTTCCACTTTTGCTCTTACATGTTAATATCAATTGTGTATGAATCCATGGCTAACCACCTGCACACTATTGCCAGTCCAATCTACACCCTATGCCAGTACAGCTGCATCAGATCTATAATCTTTTGAATATGCAGTCTTTTTTTATTCCTTTTTTTTTTCCACCCCAGTTAAAATTCCTACTCTCTGAAACTAGACATTTTGTATTAAGTTCAAGCAACTTTGTCTTT